GTTTCAACTAAAGCTTCTTTCCCATTCTCAGTGTGAGCCCCGCGGGGGTGTGCGGGAGCCTTGCCCCAGCCGGGCGGCACTGAAGACCGGGCCCGAGCTGAGGGGGTCCCGCTTGGCCTCGGCGCGGGGCTGCCCGCCTCAGTCTCGGTGGGCTGTGTGACAAGCGTTGTACGTACACACACAAATACCATTTGTCCTTTTTGTAGGATAAGCATGCGGGAAGCATTACCCCATGGCAAAGACCTCATGACCCATCTGAAGCCCAGGCACTGAATGCCCGAGGACCTTGAGCTTACACGGCTGTGGAAATCCGCTTGAGAAACTCCCTGGTGCGAGCGGGGTCTGCACAGGATCAGGGCCCCCGTGAAGAATGGAAAGAGAAAAGGGCTGTAATATAAAAGCAACAGACCTGAATGGCGAAACTATACCTGAGGCTCCTTTATTTTGTATTTCTTAGACCGTTCTCCATTTTTTAGTGCTGTGGTTGCATCCTTCCAGATACAGACGTGATACGGACAACAGCAATAACAAAAAGCGGTTACTCAGTCTGCAGCTGCGAGGTGCTAGGTAAATATGTGTGGCCAAATCCAGCTTTCGTTTCCTTCAGTGGAAATTTGATTGAGCCCTAACTCGTGAATTCTCACATTGACGTATCACAACAAACACATGGCAAGGATCTGTGTCAAGAGACGATGTATGCGCTTCTCAGCTGTTCATACCGAGACCACAACACCATTTAACTATCGCCAAGCTGGCTGACAAATGAAGTATTTGTTGAGATTTCTTTGGATTTAAATGATTCAGGAGAGCCTAAATTTTAAAATTTCAGACTTTCCATAAGAGGGAACAGGAGTGAACATTAGCCCTGCATCTCCCAAGGTAACATAGCTTCAGTATAAGCAACCCTGGCCTCCTATAAATACTGTTTACAAATGCAGTTGAGGTTTAGGGCATTGCGAAATACCATGTCAAATGTTCGTTCATAGTTTCAACAAGTTGCATTGCTGATGTAATACCACAACGCTCTATATGGGAGTGGTAGCAAGTTTTTTTCCAAACATGACAGCATTCTTTTCAAGTGGACTTAAGCCTTGACAAACTTTGTAAATCTTATGCAGAAAGGGACTAATCTAGGTGTCCCTAGCAATTAATTCATTGATTTTCATTAGCACAGAAGTGACCAGTTAGGTTATGAGTTTGTGCCAAATTTTTATCCCTAGCAAAGCCAACTTGGGGATTCCATCCTTCCTCACATAAGAAGCCAAAGAAACGTGAAACTGCAGAGAGCTGGGTTTCTGTGAAGTAGGTTTTGGACCACTAAACATTTGACAGGTTCCAGCTCCAATGTCAGGAGGACCCTGGCTGTTACCTTCTGAAGAAGCAGTTGGTAAATGACGTGTGCCCAGCTGATGAATGTTTGTCTGAGAAGTCTTAGTGATTAGCATGTGCCCCTAGAGGCCACTCTGGGTGTAATTTTATTAAATGAAATCTTACATAACAGAAAAAAATAAGTGCTTATATCTTGAATAAGGCAAAATAATGGAAGCATAAAAGAAACTGTAATGTAGGGTTTTATTCTTTTTTAGGACAAAATATGCATTTATATCACAGTGGAGAAAATATACAAAAGTCAGAAATCTCAGTGTCACTTAGTCAAAAAGTCAGAGTGGAGACTGGTTTAATATTCTCGAGGAGCAGGAAGAGCAGGGCTGCTCCATGAAGGAAGCAGAGCATGACCCCAACTTGGGCCATGTCCTCCCCAGTCACGATGTAATCCCACAGGATCTGAACACAGTGGGCAGAGCCCTGCAATGGTTGCAGGATCCACTGACAGCCCCAAGCAGGGCGAGGGGATGAGTCCGGAGGGTCCAGCCACGAGCAGAAGACGTAGGTTCAAGGTCCCTCCAAGAGATAGGGCTGGAGCTAGGTACACCTGAGCTTAGATGGACCGAAGAGCAGTGGGGTGAGGGAGTGGGGGTCCTGGCTGAAGCTGTTCAGGGCAACTAAGTGCTGCCAGTACATTCAGATCCCTGACAAACATATACTCAAGGATCTAGCAATATTGCTCTTGTGCGTATGCTGTGTTAACACCCACCTGCCTCACCTGCTTCAATGAAGTTAGCCCCATATAAAATTTCCTGTGTTTCTCATCACCTTCTTATTGCACATTCCATGAGATTTTTTGCTTTCTCCTAATGACAGTTCTCTGCCTTTTGATTGTTCCTTTTTCCCCTCTGCAGGCAGGCATATGTACATATTGCTTCTGGGTACAGCTGGACTGCAAAAGTCCAATTGTTCATCACAGTGTAGTCTGTTACTCAACATCTTCTTCATTCCCTGCAACCAATATCAATCTTTTCTACTTTTGATTTGAAATCAGGTATGTAGGGCCACTGACAAGTATTCCTTTTCCAAGAAAATTAATTTCTTTTATTTTCAGTGTTTTTGTTAATAAACAAAGAAAGAAGGCTGTGAATGTCCTGGGGAATTAAAAACAAAGAATCCAAGAAATACAGGTGTAAGACTGACCTCTAGTCTATCCCCATGCCCTAAGAAAAGAATTAATATGTACATATAAATGATCTCTACATACATATATCTCTAAGTATATGTTGCTCTTAAGCAGTTTTCACACATCGGTACTGAGTATAGTTTCGGTCAACCACGGCAAACTGGGAAGATCAACAATGTGTCTAGCTGTTCACAACAGAAAGTCATGGATTTTCTCCTAGCATCCAGTTTAGATTTCCATTCTTCTGTTGTGCAAGTAAAATCTGAATCATAACCTATATGTACAGTGACCCAGCCTCGACGTGTTTTACATGTCGTCTGAGATGTCCTGTAGGTTTGATAATCTGTATGGCTTTTTGCTTGCAAGTGTGGGACAGAGAGGGAGACACCAGAGGAGATCATGCCTGAGCAGAAGGTTAGGTTCTGGCATTGGCACGGAGTGGGGGTAAGTTTTCAGAGGCTGTGCAGATACTTTATTTTTCTTATAAATGCATGCTATAGAAATTAAAACAGCAACACACAGAAGTTAGTCACATTTGTGGAAAATATGGCCAAAGCATGATTCAATCAGCATCAGAGAGAAACTGCTCTGTAGATTCCCTCCTGGGCCTGCCTTTTGGTACTGAAGGACAGGAAAATTTTGTGGTTCATATCTGACAATTGTAAGATGGTGCTCCCCGGTCGTCTTTTTTCTTTTTCACTATGAGTGACTCAGAGCAAAACCTTCTGAATGTACATTTTTGACACCTTGGTACTGGGCAGAAGAAAACCAGGAATGAAGATTTTCTGGGGAGCAATAATGAAAAGAGAAAATAATTCCTTCCCAACAGTGATGAAGGTCTTGAGTTCATGTTGTACTGAGTGCTAAGGATAACATTACTGAGGTGACTTTTAAACTTTTAAAATGATGGAGCTATGGGTACTTTACTGTAAGTAGACTAAGACACTCTGCCTCTGTCAGGGACAGATTTTGTAGTTTTTCTAAACACTCTTTTTACACATTAAAATAATCAATGGCATTTAAAAAGAACGTAAATATTATCCACGCTGTTTTTACCCTTTGAATGAGCACCGTTTTATATCTATGATCTTTTCTATTGTTAAACTAATCCCCAAACAATTTAGCTTGTGATGCATTGTCCTTCTGGCCCCGCTCTGTGCCTATATTCCTTATTTAGACAGGGTAAGCAATCAAGAGTATATTTGGCAATTGCTCAGTAGGGCATGATGGCCAAATTGTCACCATCTTACCATTACTTTCCATTCCCTGTGCAATTATAATAAAGTGTCCTAAACTTTTATGCTGACTTGCTGAACTCAGATGAAAATCTAAGATGCACTGACAGCATCTCATTATGTGCTACATTCCTTCCCAAGATGCAGAAACATTTTTTTACAAAAGCGCATAATAAATGATCAGTAAATAAGTTAGAAATACTTTAATTTACAGGAGATGAGGCTTGAGAGTAGTCCAAATGCTTTGATAGGCCAATATCTGATTTCTAGTGATGCTTTAGTAAGGTTTGCTATCGTATGGACTGCTGGTGGGAGGTAATTTATTTTTTTAAATTTATTTACTCTGGGTAAAACACTGAAAATTAAATCTATTCTATCAGAGAAGATACTGGCAAGACTGTAATGTAAAAAGCACTTCACTTAAGCACTTCCTTTAGTTAGACCTGAGTGCCAACAGACACTGCCAAGGAATGAAGACATTTTATTTAAAATTACACTGGCAAGAGACCATCAAATTATCCTTAACATTTTCATTAAATTGAGATACAGATATAGTTAGGGCAGTAAATCTTTTCAATACAAGGAGTTTATTCCTGAGCCAAGGCCAGATTCAGCAGTAATTGTAGGAACTATTAAGACCTAAAGCCTCATCTACATTACCAAAACAACTGTTCGAGGCTTTAGCCCAGTTTTGAAAAATGGACCGGCTTCATCCTGTATTACAGAGCTAATCAGATCAGCGAACTACAGTGATGCACTTGGATTCCAGTCTGGGGTG